GTTAGGAGCCAAAAATGTTTTTAGGGTTCAAAATTTGAGAAATTTCAAAAAATATCATTTTTCAAGTGCCACTTTACAAAAATATCACACTTTTGAAATCTTTACAAAAATGCCACTTTTAAAAAAAAATTATATATTATTTATGTTTGGTTTAGTTATGGGGGTTTAGGGGTCAAAACATTTTTTAGTGTTTATAATTTTAAGATATAAAGTTTAAAAATCTATAATTAGTGGCATTTTGCAAATGAACACCCCTAAATGACATTTTTGCAAATGAACACATAAAAATGGTATTTTTGCAATTTTTCCATAAAATTTTTAGATTTAAGGTTTAAAATTTCTTAATTAGTAGTATTTTTTAAAATAGATAACCATAACGGTAATTTTGAAAATAATCACTTCAAAAATGATATTTTACAATTGTCTTTTCTCTGATCCAAATTTATACAAGAGATCAAATAATTGTAGTTTTTGGTGTAAAGAAGAACAATTCAACAATATATAGATTAATTTATTTTAAATAATAAGTTAAAATGGCAAATGTACATTAATTATAGCATTAGGTTAGAGATCATATAAAAAATACTACTATCTAATAAAAGAATATGGGAAAAAGGTCAATTTCTCTGTGAATTTTCGAACTCCCGTTTATTCATACATGATCTATTAAATTAGGCCAAAACCTCCATGAACTTTATATAATTTTGAATTTCTCCCATCATCTATTAATATTTGGTGAATTTACACAAAACCGCAGACGGAATCTGTTTTCCGTTAACAGGTTGTGACGTGGATTACATGTGACTAACGGGGTTCGGTTCGGTTTTGTGTTGACCAAAATCAACTGATTTTTGACTTGATTAACAACAAAACGGCATCGTTTTATATTTGGAAGAAACGTGATAAATTCTCTGTATTTCTCAATATTCATCTCTCTAAAAATGGCGGGTCGCTACAATCTCATCAATTACCAAGTGGGCTCTACGTTTCCGGTAAACTCGAGCAACCCAAAGAACGACCACCGACAATGGCTGCTCGTGCTATGCCTTACACCAGAGGTGAAATAAAAAAATCCGGCGAACTTGGATTGATGTTCAACATCTCCGTTTCTGATCCCACCTCTTTCCAAGGACCAGCGTCGATTTTCGTCGTCGGCGGCGGAGGAGGACCACCCAGACAACAACAACCGCCACGTGTCCCTACCTCCGCCTCGTCTTCGAATCCCAACAGTGGATCCGTTCGATCCGGATTCCAATCGGATCCAATTCGAAAATCTTCAGGTCATCTCTCTCAGCTTCAACCCACCGGTTTAATCACATCCGGTCCGCTTAATTCCTCCGGTTCAAGAAGCTCATGTCAGATTTAATTATCATTTTCTTCGTTCGAGTAATTCAAGGTCGACCAAACCCAAATACGGATCCG